AAAACTATAAATTAACTTTTAATGTACTTGATAAAGTTAGATTAATATAGAAGTAGGCAGTTATAAAAAATAACATCATAATAGATCTGATCTCAAGGCATTGCACCTACAGCCAGAAAAAATAGTCCCCTAAAGTCTTATAATAAACAAAAAAACAATACGTTTACAATAATACCTGTATGTTTTTATAGTTAAACAAAATATGTCTATTAAAGTGTGTATATATGTATGTACGAACTGTAAGACGTTACGCGGTGTAACATTGAAGGTGTAATATTAGATGTGTAAGTCGTAAATCCACACTTAATCAAAAGGTTATTAACCCGTTCATTTACAATTATAATTTCACGCAGCGATATACAATTTAGGTACTTTATATTGCAATATTGGAAATCGATTACTATGTAATTTAATAGTTACGCACCGTTTTACTGTACCTTATTAACAACCTCCTTCCTTCTATTATTACTGTAAAATAAAACGTCGATTATGAATTACTTACCAAACTCTTACAAACGTATTTTGCACTAATGCAACGAATCATATAAACGTTACACAATTAAGGCACGAAACCGTATGTTGTAAAAGTGCTATTCAACGTTAGTTATCTATAGTTATACTATAATAATAAAGCGTAAACACACACTTCTTTGTTGCCTAAGATGTCAGCAATACAAGGATATTTTTGAATAATTCTTTCTTTAATAAAAAGCCCTACACTTGCGTCACGCTTTAAGCTATATATTTTAACGCCATTAAACATAGGAGGTAAATATTTTGAATAAAGACCCTAATGTGGGAAAGAGACCATAAGTTGCTGCCAACATCTAGGAAGCATGGTTGTCATCATGTCATGACATTTTGACATTTGTAATTGATAATTTGTCAAATGTAAGCAATAAAATAAAATGTTCATAATTTTATGCGGATGAAGTCGCACGGGAACAGCTAGTTAATTACAACATTAGTAAAAGAACATCAATTATTCATGTTCCGATTTAAATTCGAAAATGAAAGAATTAAAAAAATAACAATTAACTGAATGTCGTTTAACGGTCATTAAAATGTTAAATATACCATACTTAATCTATTATAAGGGTCGTTCGTAAAGCACTTAGAGTGCAATATTACGTATTTACTAAAGATATTCATTATTACAAAATCTGTGGAACTCATTCAGTATCAGTAAAATTTAGAACAACCCCCACTCTGGTTACCTTATTTGAAGATATTGCATTAACAACAAGTTCGAATTCACAGTATATTTCGAAACTCAACTGCTATACATGTACATTTACTCCCACTATGTATAGATAAATTACATCAATAGATTACAAATATTACATGGTATTGTATGGAAAAAGGTAAAAGCCTGCACGAATTCTATTACTATGAACAATTTAAAAGGCGTAACGTTTATGCTGAATAATATATTTGAATAAACTTCCAGTCACGGGTCACGCGCAGATTAGAATGTCGGTTTTTAACCTGAGCTTGCACATCTGTCTACAAATTGCGATCTGCCTTTACACTACGAACTCTTTTCCTGAGGAACAATCACACTATTTAAAATAAATATTATTGCACTAGCTGTTCCCGTGCGACTTCATCCGCATGAAATTATGAAAATTTTATTTTCTTGTTTACATTTGTAATATTATCAACTACAAATATCAAAATGACATGACACGACAAACTTTGACAATCCTACTTCCTTGATGTTGGCAGCAACTTATGGTATTTTTCCCACACTAGGGTTTTTATTAAAAATATTTATCCCTAAGTTTAATGGCGTCAAATTATATAGCCTAAGGCGTGGCGTAAGTTTAGGGCTTTTTATTTAAAAAGAGTTATTCAAAAATATGCTGTTATTCCTGACATCTTAGGCAACAAAGAAGTGTGTGTTTACGCTTTATTATAATAGTATAGATTAGCCTTTGGATGTCTAATAACTAAGAGGTTGTGTTCAAGATCATGGAGACTTACCATGGAAATAATGTCATGGAAATACAATAGCAAATAATCATTGTTGTAAATGCATTCTAATAAAAACTTTACATACACATTAAGCTAATTAAATGTTACCAGTGTTCATTATTCTACCAAAAAATGCAATATCTGTGTACTTTGGAATGATATTTACTATACAGTAAATCCGAAAAACAATGAATTCATTGACATTGTAAACCTTAAAACAAGCATTCGGGTATAAACTTTTTCTGAAATTAAATTATAACTTCATATGACAACACAAATTTACTTTACATCCGCCCGTCCATCAAACTCAACAAGCGCATCGAATTATATATCAAACACTAAATAGCGGATGCTATTTAATTAAACTTTAATGACATAAAATTGTGCAATTCCTAAGCCGTTATTGTTCCAAGCACAAATTGAAGTCATATAGGTTCCGTAAACGCGATGTGTTAATCAAGTAGTACTTGTAACGGACGTTAATATAGTGCATGTGGACATGACAACTTGACTGTAACTTACGCTATTTGCATTAATAAATCGAATTTTAATACCTATACCTATGCATTTTAATACGTAACCAGCTACTACTGCGAATACGTTTAACAGTTTTTGTACCATATTTACGAAGATTATTGGAGACGTAAAATGTAAATGGAAGTTTTACATATTTATCGTTTGTATTTCTATTATTTTATTTATTCAATTATGTCTTTATGTATTATTTGACCTGAACTCTTTACTATCGTTAAAAGATATAGCAGCTATAATGTTTTCCATTATAAGTAATTGGATTCATTCTCGTAAGTAATAGTTATTTTCATAAAAAAGTAACGACTGTTTTGAACCTTTGTTATCTAGTAGTTAAGTCTTATTTAAAACTGGCTGTTCCCATGCGGCTTCATCCGCATGAAATTATAGAAAGTTTTTTTCATTGTTTACATTTGTCAAATTCTCAAATGTCGAAATTGCCGTTACCATAATAACCTTTCTTTTTTAATGTTGGCAGCTTGTAGGTTATGGTCCCTTTGCGACATGATGGTAGTTTACCAATTTATTTACCTCTAAGTTTAATAAAGTGAAAACATATAGTCTAAAGCGTAAGTGTAAGTCTTTTTATTAAAGAAATCATTTTACATAAATGTTTTGTGGTTCCTGACATCCTACGCCACGAAGTATAGTGTGTGTTTACGCTTTATTATAATACGAGTAGTATAGATAATAGGATCACTATAGACTTACCGTAACGATATGATGTAAGAGTAATCGAAGCATCCATTGTCAATGGCATATTGAGGGTCGTGCGTGGATTACATTATGACGTCAAAATGTCAACTGGCTTGAAGACTCTGACGTTTAGTATTCTATGGTCGATATCGATTCACACTACTAGTACCATCGTACGATTGTCTTGGAAGTTGGAAATTCTTGATCAGATCATGTTAAAATGTCCTTGAACAAATCAATACCATCAATGTTCATTTGTTAAATTTGAGAATAAATTAATTCTAAACAATACTATGCAACTGCCTGGTGCGCGCGACGTCGTTCGCGTAGAATTAAGAAAATAGTATATAATATAGCCTATGTTACACAGTGATAACGTATATTTTTAGTCGGTATGAAAGAGTTTTTGTAATATTTCAGTTGTTTTTGAGTTATCTCAATACGTACAAAAATAAAAATCTTTCCTCTTTATGTTAGTATAAATGTGTATACAGAAGCGAAAGACATTAATATTTTAAGTACTTAAGAAAATATAAGATCAAGTAAATTTAATATCAGCGGCAATCGTTTGCCTAATGACGTAAATAAATTTAAATTTCAACATTGCCTCACGGATATAATTAAATATGCGTAGATATATTGTTTATAAATGCAAAATCAGCGCACGATTGACGTTGCACGTAAATTTACAGCAACAAATATATTAGATTATTTTAATATGCACAGTATGCAGTACCTACAAGGAATTAAGAAAAAACCTAAAGCTTAGTCTGTGAACAATATTTAAGCGTACCTTATGTTTTGTATTCAACTACTGATGCAACAACTAACATAAATATTCGATTTAAAATATATGTTGAAAATCAATTTGGGGTAGGAACACTACTGACATACCTTTTAATCATTAATATTATAAATACGAAAATTTGGATGGGTTTATAATGTTAGTAGTTAGTAGTAGGGCCCTCCAAGAAATCCTTCTGAAATCTGCAACAAATATTACAATCTGGAATTGCTATTCATTCGTGCTCATAAGCAACATTTTTTTAAATTCTACAAACGGAGTCGCGGGCAACGGCTAATCTTAAAAAAAAATAAAATCGGTGTCATTAAATGTTGTACTTTAAGTAACCTTTGGTTAATAAATCGACTTCTAAATGTCTCTGTTTAAATAAATTTTGGGATCTTTCTTGGCATCCAAATGATTGCAGTTACTAAAATTGAATACGAATTGAAAATAAGTTTAATAAAAAAGAAAACATCACATTAAATCGATTAACGATCCAGTTTTTACACAGATAAATCACATATTTTATGTAAAAGTATCTTCATTGCAAATTCGCAGTTAGAATGTTATTACTTAAAATGATCGATCGTTTAGACTTTCTTCAAAGTTTCAAAAAATATAGTACTTCTGATAAAATGTCGCAACATTCCTGATTCATTTTATCTTTTAACTATTTTCTATAAGTATGAGTAAAAAACAAAATATGCTTAGTGATTCCTATCGAGCTTATTAATCCGCTACATATGTTTCGCTAGCTGTTGCTCGCGACTTCGTCCACGTGAACTTAAAAGTAGTTAAAAAACATCGTCTATGTTACTCGGCGATAAAGTTGCTTTTTAATAGTGAAAGAATTTTTGGAATCGCCCCAATAGTTTTTGTGTTATATCAATACATACAAAAATTCATTAATACATTTTTTTTCTTTATAATATTAGTATAGTATAGATATAAATATAGATAGGTATTTTACGAAATATATCTATGACGTAGTCTCTGTGTTTTCATATAGAAGCAAAGCATATCCTGCGCGGAGTGAGCGGGTGCTTCAAGCCGGGCGAGCTGACAGCCATCATGGGCCCCTCGGGCGCCGGCAAGACCACGCTACTGAACATCCTAGCAGGATACTCGTAAGTCAATATTTTAATTGAGAATACGCAATTTACTAATTTATCTCTTTTTTTCATTTCACACTGATTCATTCGCACGAACTGCATTTCCAAAAAAAAATAAAGTTCGTAGCCTAAACTACTAAACGGACCTCGATAAAATTTGACACAAACGTAGAGGACACTCTGGAAAAACACATAGGCTACTTTTGTTCCTTTTAATTCCACAAGTCGCGTGCGAAAGCTAGTTAATACATAAAACCAATTGACCGCCTCTTCCGTCCTTCAAGACTTTTCTAAGAAACTTTGTTCCTACTTTAAGCATTGTAGTTATAAAGCCATTACCGCTTTCTACAAGTCAATACACTTAAATGTACATCGTAAGTAGGTCCACTGTATTTTCAGAACAAAAGGTGCGAAAGGCGAAATAAAGGTCAACGGAACGCCGACATGCGCCTCGCAGTCGACGAGTCGCGGTGGCGCGAGGTACATTCGCCAGCATGATGACCTTCGAGTCCATCTCACTGTATACGAATCCATGGCTCTAGCGGCTGCGCTTAAGCTGGCCGACTTCACCGCGCACGAGAGGAAAGAGAAAGTAAGAGAAAGCTAGATCACTCATCTACAGACGAGATGTACTCTAAGTGCGCAAGTTTTATGCAATTTTACTGTCTATCAAATTTGTCTATAAAATATCGAATACAAACTTTCAAAAACCTTGTGATAGTTATTATGAAATTGTTATCTATCTTATATTTGTTTGAAGCAACTTCATTTGCTTACTACATAACTAAATAACTAACTAATCAATATTGAAGACTTTGAACATTGTGTTGAGTCAAAACCGATACAATAAAAGGTATTCAGGTCAAAAATTAATTTCGATGACTTGTCGCTACATTGCACCATACTTTCCTAAACGTCACATACATATGGAGTGTTTAAAAAGAAAACTTGATTTTAAATGATTATTTCCAACTTAATCCGTTTTTTTTTAAGTATTAAAAAGTAATAACTGTCGGTAAAGCGCATTTGCGGAATTATTATGAAAAGCTACCATTAAAAAAGTATTTCACATTTGTACCGATAGATGGCGCTGTCAAGAGCTTCACACTTTAATTCAATCTGTTTACTAAAGACTGTATAAAGGTAACATTGGTGCCCGTATTGTTTAGGTTTACGAGATCCTGGCACTGTTGGGACTAAGCGGGGCAGCGCGGACCCTTTGCCGCGACTTGTCCGGGGGACAGAGACGACGGCTGGCCGTCTCTCTTGAACTACTCTCTGATCCCTCGCTATTGTTCCTTGACGAGCCTACCACGTAAGTTATTCCAATTCCAACCGGACCTAGTTCACGGTTAGTTCATCGGAATCGGACATTATCATATAAAATTATTCTTGTTGAATTAAATCAATGCAACAATTGCCTTTACCAGTATTTCCAACACACAAATGTTTTCCAATTATTTTAAATGGAAACATTATTATTTTTATATAATAGTAGCCATAGTTATTTTTATATAAATTATACATAAAAATGTTTTCGTTGATTTCACTTAAATATGACTAAGAAAGATTCGAGGGTGATCCGAAATCTGTAATGTTTGATTAAGACTTTAATATGTTCGGCCTTCTAGTATATTACAAGTGAGATGTTTTTAAACATTTAACAGGGGCTTAGATTCTTCAGCATCTGCGTCACTAATAACATTACTGAACGGCCTGGCACGCGGCGGTAGGACTTTAATCGCAACCATACACCAGCCGTCAGCACTTCTTTTTGAAAAGATCGACTCCGTGTACTGCCTCGCGAACGGCAGGACTTTGTACTCTGGCCCAAGACAGCATCTCCTACCAGCGTTGTCAAGCGCCGGTCTTAGATGTCCGGCTTACCATAACCCTGCTGATTTCTGTGAGTAATTTTCATAAGTTCACAATCGTAATTTGATGCACTCCTCTTGACATATTTTGAAACATGCAATGTAACTACTTTAATTACCTGTTACTATAGATTTTATTAAATTGTTATTGTATTATGTTTTAATGTTATTTTCCGTAAATGACAATAGTTATTACACTATTAAATTTCTGAGAATTTACACAACTAAGTTTAGTTGAGTAGTTACAAACAATACAAATATTACGTAATTGCGTGACGCCTATGATACTCTTTTAATTTTAATTGATTACAATTTATATGACAAAAACAAAATTGTATGTGAAAATTAAAATAATTTTACATACAATGGAGGTCATTATTTCGATAAAACATTTTAATTAAAATTAATAAATTGAAAGCTGATACTTTAAAGAGTAGCGAGTAGTTTTATTGAAACTAAATGTATCTTATATTTTTACCTGAATGAAACTGATTAGCAAAAATACAATTTTAATTTTCGTTAGGAGTAACGAAACATTTTAACAAACAATGAAATAAAATCAATATCGAAGTTTACCGGACACACAACAAGGGTCAAACCGAGACATTCAGATAATTAATAAAGCAACTACAGGAACCAGCAAAAAAGCCATTGTATTTCTAAGTTCCATATAATTAAATATCTTAAACAAAGACAAATAACATTACTCACGATAATATTATCTTAATGGTTTTATCTACAAAAAGTATTTGATGAGATGTGTGTGAAAACATCAACAAAAATTATTTATGATTTTTTTGATCAAACCAAAGTAAACATGAACACGAAGACAAATAATCAAAAGTAATAAGGTTTTCTAAAAACAAACGGAAGTAATATTAAATTTATGTATTTTCAGTAATGGAAGTCGCTTCCGGTGAGTACGAGGTGGATCTCGTGAAAGTGTCAAAAACTATAACATATTATAAACCGGAGCCTGTTGCCGAAGCAAGCTTAGAAGAGATCAGTTTACAAGATTCTTCGCATACAAGTAAGACTCATTTTAATCGTACTAATATTATAAATACGAAAGTTTAGATATATGGATGTTTGTTAGAGTTCATAGTCTTAACGGCTGAACGTGTTTCGGTGAAGTTTAGAATAGATGTAGAGAATAGTTTGGAAGAACACATAAGCTCACTTTTGTTTTTTTTTATTCAACGCACAAGGAGTCGCGGACGAAAGCTAGTAATATTATAAATGCGAAAGGTAAAATTGAATGTATGGATGTTTATGAGGACGTAACTTCAAAAAGTCCGTTCTATCTAGAAGAAATTTAGAAACGGAGATACAGTCTGTAATAACCCATAGGCTATTAAATTTTTTCTTTACATTTCGTGAAGACGAAGAACGAAGTCTGAAACTACTATTCACTTAATAATAATAAAATTTTTAATTGTAATTTCATTCACGCCTGTTAATGAAATCTGAGCTTTGGGATTTAAAAAAAACTATGAGGAAAATATGAATCGCTTATTCGTCATGGTAAATTTTCCTTAAAGTTTTTGTCTCTAATTGTACATTTATTGTAGGCATGGACAACAAAATCAAGCAAAAACCTTTACAAAGCAACGCTAAATATCAAAGGAATTACTCTAAAAACATTTACAGGCCGTCAGGGAATTTTAGTCAGACATGGATACTGCTTTATAGAAACTACTTGATGACGACGAGAAATTACGTGAGTATATGTACACTATATTCATTAAGAAATACATTTTTAAATGCCCAAACTGAGAACTTAAGCTGGCTTGAAATAGATATTACCTACTGCAGGATTTTGCACATTTACTTTTCCTTAAAAGAAGCAAATTTTTCGCACACATGGCATCCCTAAAGAAAGATATCTACGCCTTTTGCGGTAGTTTATGATTCTTTAAAACTCTTAAGAAATTAAATTTTTATACATCAATGACAGGACTAAATATTTTATTAGAAGTGCTTTGCACTAAAATCAATACGTTCCGTTTTACGCATAGTAACATGCACGTTTTAATTGTTAATTTTCCGTAAACCTGACAAGTGACGTTTTAACTGGTTAGCAAAGGGTAATATGAAACGTTTTACGATGATAAACACATCTGTATATAGACGTCCACTTATTCATTATGTTAAAGTAATAATTACATTAATAAAATTAGTAGTATCTGATGCTATAAAAAATATCAACACGGTCGAGTTTCTTCGTGCGGTTTTGATATGATTAAAAAACAACATTAAGGTTCTAATTAGCTATTAGACGCTAAATAAAATGTTACATAATTACATTTACTTTCATTTCAGTCATTATTCATGTACAGAGTGGCGGCACACGTGGTTATAGCACTTATCTTTGGCTACTTGTACTTCGGTGTCGGAAGCGAGGCGAGCAGCGTACTCGGGAACTATGTCTACTTGTATGGATCTATGCTACTCGTTGTCTACACTGGAAAGATGTCTGTGACACTATCATGTAAGTGTATATGATTTAAGTTTAGAATTATCATTGATCTGGAAAACTCTTTTAATTATCTATAATTTTAGTTTAAGCGCCTGTAATATTTTAATAACAATATTCAATGCATCTTTGCAAATTCAAAATTGACAGGCGCATTTACTTTACTTTTAAAAGCTATAAACTCGTACTATTGTTTCAGTTCCACTCGAAATGGACATATTAAAAGGAGAATACTTCAATCGATGGTATAACTTGGGACCGTACATATTTTCAATACTGGCTGTTGAATTACCATTTCAGGTAAATATAACTACGCAGTAAAAGTTCATCTCACAATTAAAAACTCATTATTTTCTATCATTGTTCTTTTGTTTTCAGATGATCTCTTGCGTGTCATACGTGGTACTGTCATACTGGCTTACAGACAACCCTCTGGAGCCCACACGAGCTACGCTGTTTCTCGCTACGATCGTTGCCACCTCCCTGTGTGCGCAGGCGTGGGGATATTTCATTGGTTCAACTACCCCTACTAAGGTAGCAAATTTTTTTAACATGGAAATTTAATTAATTATAGAAATTATAAAAATGGTTACATCATATACTCGTATAAATGTAAAGCGGAAGATCATTTAGTTAAAATAAGTGTAACAGTACATTTTCTATTCGTATTCTAAAATAGATTTAAAGAGTTATGCCCTCTCTATTGATACTGCGATACGCACTAATTCATACTCAAAACTATCTATGTTATCTTACAAATAAATTTTCTCATTTGCAGATTGCAGTATTCATTGGGCCAGTACTAGCGTGTTTGTTCTCCGTGTTCGGCTTCTGCCTGGCACTGTCGGACACACCCTATCCCTTCCGCTGGTTGCACCACATCTCCTACTTTAGAGCCGGCTTCCACGTCGCCGTTCATTCTGTCTATGGCTTTAATAGAACTAAGATTCATTGTGCAAAAGGTAATTGTACAATTTTGATACTTTCATGCTGAGTTTCTGAAGTTCCCACTTATTTTGTCATTACCTAGCGTTTCATTAATGTAAAGCTGAGCTAAGTTTTAACGGAGTAAAACTCAAGTTAAGTAGTTCGGAAACACATTTCATGAAATATTCGAACCAAAAACACTAATGAATGTTCAAACGTAGCTGGGAAACCGGCGTGTACGTGTACGTGTTAAATAATTAAAAATACATTTCTGGCTTATAAAACCTAATTTTTTTTCATTTCAGAATATTGTCACTACATAACTCCTAGCAAGTTTCTAGTGGAAATGGATATGGCGCACGTTGACGTGGGTGGCAACATGGCACTCGTTCTGTCAACAACTGTCCTCATGCACCTCCTCACATGCGGCGCCCTCTGGTATAGACTAAATAAAAGATGATTCTTTATAGATCTGTGAATGCGACTGAGTTTTTAATGTAAATTAGACAATGTAGTGGTGTTAGTTAATTTTAATGAAACGTAATTTTTAAGTAGATAAATTTTGTTGCCTTAGTTATTATTATAGTGATATTTAATTCAGTGTATTGACTTATTTTAGGACCAAGTATTTTATAATAAGCTGAATAATTGACGCTGGTGCCGTTAAAAATATAGAAAAGACTATTTTGGAATTATAAACATTTTTTTCTTTATTTTCAAAATTGAAATTTAATGGACAAAAAATGAAAACGAATATTGTAAAGATGTGTTTAGAATAGGCCGGTCAAGATATATACCGATTAGATCTTTTAACTTTTTAAAATTACATACAATTTTTATTCAGTACATGAAAAAAATATTTTGATTCACTTGACGTTTAAAACGACAAGTCCATTTGGACGATTTTGTACCTAATAAAGAAAATTAACTCAATCGTAATTGTTAATAAACCAAATAAAATCAAACCTGTTAATTAAAAATCTATTTTAAATAAGTTCTTTTTTTGAAGAATGAAAATTGTGAACGTTTTAAAAATTAGAATATTTTTGTAACGATAAGTTCGGAATACCCAGTTAAAAGTATGTTGATAGTTACCATGAGTTTTCACTCTCGTACCACTTGTACAATACATTCTGTTGTCTGTTTATTTAAAACTGTATGAGGAGATAGCAAAATGTTTTTGTACAGTTGCTTTGGCAGTAAGAACTGACAGTTATGTTTAAATCAGCATGCACTAGATATTAAAGGTCTTAAATCGTAGTAATCGTAATCGTAAATCGTAGATATTAAAGATGCGTTAAATCCAGTTATTAAATAAGTGCTAATATAAGTGATGTTTAAGTATTATTTAAGTTAATGTTAAAATATAAGTTTTGTGAGTTAAAATGAACAAGTACTTATTCAAGAAAGAAAAATGTCTCTATAAAAACCAAAGTAAAAGGCTTCTAGAGAGTCAAGTAACTATAATTATGATTTTTTTTGTTTGCACTTTATAAGTAAAACATTTTACATAGTTCAAATAAAAGTCCATTTATGATAACAGCTTCGAAAACAAAGATTTTTTTTTTTTGTCAATAAATAGTGTTTTATATAATTATTTTATTTTAATATCTTTGTGAAGTAAATGTCTCTCTCATCTCATACCAAAGTTAATAAATACTTTTATATTATTCCCCCCATATTTCCAGAAAATGTTCATTATAAAGTAAAATTAAATTGATTATATTTATGTCAAACTTGCTTATATATTAAAAACAGTAAAAATTTGTGATATCATGCGATTGTTTTTACCAGTACTTAACTAAGCCGCATCCTGAAGTAAAATTTTTAATATAAGTGTAATTCGTCTTATTGTGTTTTATTTTAAACATTATTTTCTAATACATGCCATGGTGTTTTTATTACCAGCATTTACTGAGATGATAGGCTATATAATTTTTTCTTTTTTCAAAAAGAAAAAACTACTTACCCCAGTAGTTTTCGAGTTATTTCAATAGATAAAAAATAGAAATTTTTTCCTTTTTATAGTATTAGTATAGAAGTAAATATAGATAATTAAGAAGAGCGAATGGAACACTAAGTTTATACGTATATATATTAAAGCAGATTTTATGCTTAAAATTTAATTGGCCAAGATCAAGGTAATTAACATGAACACAAAATGGTCACCCAAACCTAAACAGGGGTGACAGTAACATAAATAATTTTATGATAGTTATTAAAAAAAAAAAATAAGTACTTGTAATCCGTCTTAAATATTCAGTAATTATTTTAATATTTGCCAAAAAAAAATTCTCGACAAACTTGTTTTGGTAGCAAGAACAAGTTTAATTTATTATTGTGGCAGTTCAAGGGACTTTTAGCGCGAAATATTAGTTTTTATATTGATATAAGAGTAGATTCCCACAGTTGTATGTTAAATTTTTACAAGCTTGATGTTGTTTCATACATCCGAATAACAAGGCTATCTTAAAAATTTACTTCATAAAAATTAAAGTAGTGTTGTCAAAACGTGGCTTCCAAATAAAATGTTAACGAGTGAAATAGGGTTAACATATTCGTTAATTTAAAAAGCATATTATGCAAACGATAGTGTTCAAAGAATTAATTTCCATAGCCTTTATTGAAACCTGTAGTGTTGCCAAGTTCATTTGCATATTTCACTCGTATTATTTCGTGACCAATTTTACAACTTTTTAATATAAAAATATACTTTGCTCGTGAATCGTGTCCACACTATCTATAAAGTTTTTTTTATTCACGCGTTATGTAACAGACACCGACATTTGAAGGATTTGAAAAGCAATAATAATCTAGTCTAGTGAAGTAGGTACTACATTCTACAGCTTCTGTAGCTACAAGTTTTACGTATTTAATAATTTAAAAACACTTATAAATACAAAGCGATAATAACGAGAAATCGAAAAAAAATCCCGACAATAAACTTGAAATATTGCAGAAATAAATTCTCAAAGTAAAAGATAATTCAACCTAGCAATTAAGTTGAAATTAGATCAGTTGCAGAACAAAGTTAAACAGGCGTTCAAGCAAAACATTGTTTTAAATTACACTAACTATAAATTGTAATGAAAAGCTTTGGATAAAAGCTCACTAACTATGAATACAGCAGTTTTGGACCCTTAGTTTATTTAACCCAGAGCAGACCATAACTTAAATATATACGCGCAGTGTATCATTATCATCATCCTCCTTATCCTACTCACGTAAGGTCGGCGCAACAGGTTTTTGTCCTCCACATAACTCTATCAAACGTCATCTCAGACATCACTCCCTTTTTGATCATGTCACCTTTCACGCAATCCATCCATCTCTTTCTAGGTCTACCTCTACCGGTGTACCCTTCCACCCCCATAACTAACGTTCTCCTTGTATATACTCACAGCATATGACATTGTTTTAACAAAGAGATCAATTAGTTCATTTTTGCACTGTGACTCAACAGTGAACGTTGATCTTTATGACTCGATATCGTTTCCATACACGAGCATTATTTATATTGCGCACATGCTTGTTTTGATTATGTCAATTGCAAGTACCACAAGTGCATACTTCCCACAGACACAGGCGTAGCCAGCTGATGATCTAAGCTAGGTGTAAGGGGACAGCTACTATTAATACTTCTAAGAAGTGTTTTGCATTTTACATTATCTAGAGAAAAAGGCTAGCTAGCTTACAGATGTCTGTTTACGAGGTCTACGCTGTTAAAGTTATTACTAGACAGTATATGCTTCGATAAAATGGTCATTAGGAAAACAGCAACACATATTTTTGTTTTTAAATTACTTAAAAAAATCTTACAAAACAACAGGAAGAGTTACTCGAATATTAATGGGTGATTATGTTTGTTGTTTACTTGAAATAGTTCTACCGTTACTAATCTTAAGCTACTTTAGTAAGGCAAACTGTTTTTTCTACTAATAATGTTACTATTTAATTGTGTAGTGAATTTAAGAGATAACAGCTATTTAGCGCTTCGCAGCTGACTGAAGCGTGGTGGGGATAACGACCGATAATTGTTGTAACGTTGTGGGCCGCGCGCGCAAACACTACAACCAGTCCAGTGTGGCGCTAGACGTCGGGTGCCTATGTGCGGGAGTCTCTGTGACTGTAATCTTGAGACGCGTTCTTTGTTTACGTTTTACGTTCACAGCGCTGTATGACAACGCGATGGAACCTAAACTCTTTGTTTTAACGCTGTAGCGACCTTTCGTGATTTGGTGCTAGTGAAAGTTATCAAAATGGTTGTCGACAATCAATCCGTATCTCAAGAGACAGCTTCGACGTCGTCGTCGGAAGACTCACTCAACATTTCCTTCCAAGATATCACATACAAAGTGCGGCACGGCATTCTGGCGGGAGGTGAGTGATAAAGCTTTGTGCACTTCTTACGGAATGCTCTGATAAAATTATACAATATACTCATTAACAAATGGTAGATGGTTGCCCTTGTGAGTTATCTACGTTTGAACTCTCATTATCATGCGTTGCATGATAGTGAAATGTATACGCTAATTAATCTGGCGGTAGACCTAAAAATGTGGTGGTCTCGCCGTACAACTTACATAATTTGATGCTAGTGTTATTATTGAAAAAAATATTATGTAATTCTTAAATCGGACTTAGAAACGAGAAAACTTGTCGACGTCTTAAACTGTGATAACTGTAGGAACTGGTTTGATATTTTTAATTTTGTTCCTTACTATTTAAAGTACAAATAACATATATCAAATGTAAAAGATTGCTATAAACAAATGCATATTATTAAGGTTATCATCGTATAGTAAACAAACTAACAAAGAAGCTGACTTTATACTCATATTGAAATTCAATTCTACCTTGATACTATAATACTCTATTAACCTTTCGTACATAGATCTTTGTTATCATAAACATTTATAAAATTAAAAATATTGTAACCCATTGTAGCTTAGCATTTGTAAGCGTTATAATTTATTGTTCCTAACAAAAAACATCGCGGATATTTGTAGAGCGAGAGGTGTTAGCGTTAACTTTACTATTTTAAAATTTGCTTTCCTAAAAACGAGTTTATTTTTATTTCATGTGAAGATCATCAACGCGCCTTTTATTCATACCGAAGCCGAAACATGTGGTACACATATTTAACCTCAAATTGTATTCCGGTAATTTAAATTAGCTTGATGCAAGATTAACGTCCATGTCAATTTATTTATTTTTTACTGAAAAAGTTGGTAAACAAACAACCTGTTAATTAACCTATGATCAATCGAGATACTCGCAAAACCCAGTTACTTTTAATGGACAAAGGATACTATAAAAGTTAAATGGACATTTCCTCTGCCTATTTATCCACTCTTCTTTTAAATTCACTTTAATTTTACCCACAAAATGTAGAGTAGGTTCCACAATACTTATTCTAATTTAGAAAAAGTTATGACGGGGAAAAAGTCAAGAACAAGGCCATCTCACTGGTAAGAATCTCAGCATATTTCTAAATCAAGTCTGTCTTTACACCTTCAACATCAACCTAAAGTTAGGCTGAAGCTCCGAGTGTCCGAGTCTCGCGGTAGAGACGTATATGAGTTGGCAACGGAGTCTGCCTGATAATAGGCGTATCGTGGTATTTCACTAATTGAGACTTCCCATTCCGAAAACAATGTTTTTGTAGCGGGCTCTACCACTGACTTTTTTATATTACTTTTTCGTTATTGTTATTGAGTTTTTAATTTTCAGTTAGTGAAGTTATAAATTATTGCTCTAATTATTATCATTGCATTGCGTGCACCAGTTTTAAGCAAGATAATTGTTATTTTTTGTGTCATGGCTGCGTTGTATCGCGGTTCATAAAATTTTGTTTGTGTAATATTTACTATTATTTCATTAGAATATTTTAAGTAGTACACTGAAAATGACTGTCAGTCAGTTATAGTAAAATGGCAATTGAACTGCCATGCCAGGATTGGGTTTGGTAGCTCTATTAAAAAAAATAATGTTTAAAAAATAGATTTCATCAGCTAACCCAATGATGGTACGACACCATCAGTTCCGTATCCTAGTCTAAAAGGAGTGAGTAAATAAATACATTTACATTCAAATATTCTTCCTAATTTTTAAAGAAACAAGATTGTCGATGTCTTGAAAATACAGAACCTTGAAATAGGAGATTTTAATATAGAAATTATTTATGAAATTAGAAAGTCAAACGTAAAATCTCCTACAAGAATATTAACCAGCTCGGCTACACGCTTAATAAAGGCCATATTAGGAGAACTTGTTACTAGAAGAGCCAAGAGCAAAAGGAAAGTTGTAACAACTAATATAAAATAATTAATACATACTTATAATGACTAACAAAATAAGACCATTTTAAGTGCAGAGATGAATTTGAAAAATGTTCTCAAAGTTTGATAAATCCTTGCAATTAAAATGATCAAAGTTTGACTTAATTAGTATGTTCAAGGCATAGTTACCATTTTTTACAATATCAGTAGATTTTTGGAAATTCACTAATATTTCCTTTGACCATTCCAACTAAGCTCTAGGCTTGTGCTAGTATATGTTACACGACAATAGTCAATACCTGGATTCGAACTCTCGATTTGCAAGATCGGTAGTCCATACTTCAAACCATTAGTCTATTGGCGCTTAAATTGTGTACTATAAAGAGTATCATAGACTAATGCGATAAAACAGCGAATTTGAAATAAACGAAATAAGTATCTTGCTTTGAATAAACTAATTTAAGTTTGCGATAACAACAAAATATTGTGATCATTAAAACATTGCCCATTAATTACGTCCGCATCTCATAAAATGATAAAACTCAACTGTTTTCTTGCAGATGTACGTAATGACGTTACATTAATAAAACCATCGAAGAAATAATAAACATGGATTACGTACAATAATTAACATAAGCTTACTTAAAATTAAAAACAACAAAGTTATAAAATCTAAGAAAACGATATATAATCCTAAGATACAACGTTAAGCTTTCAATTAGGAATACTCGTACTTGTATTTTAATTCTTATTAATCCAATAAGAACTTTAATAACTTTTAATGTTAGAATTCTTAAAAAAAAAACAGATAATAAGCATTTTTAAGGAAAACCTGTGAAAATTGCCAAATAATTTCCGTCAATTTGTAGACATTTGAGGCGATAGAGCTATACAGCAAAGCTAGGAATTGTTAACTTCGATCGACATTTGCGTTAAAAGTATTGGAAGGCTCGACTTCATTTTTTTTTAATACCAGCTGACTATCAAAAATTTAACACTTCTTATGAGATTCCAAGCAATGTAGCTTGAATAAGATACGTTACGTTGCATAAACATACGTTTTCCTAACTTCCAGAAACACACTGTATAAAGCCGTAAAGATATACATTGAATAATAGTAATAAACACTTACTTATCGTCTATTAAGTTATAATGAAATTTAATCTTAACATTTAATAATACGTGAAATAGAATCGGTTTAGAAGGAAAACGTTATCATAATTATTATTGACAATTCATTCATCTTTATCTCTTTCCATTTGCATGTCCTTGTAATAGATTTGACTTTACACAATTTCAGATTAAATTCAAGGAGAACAACTAAGAGAACCAGAATATCGAACAAAAAAATGCAAAATTAGCATTCAAAAAACTTCTCCAAAACGTCAATGTTTCTAGACAATTCGGTAATTAATTCAGCTTCGACTTATTACATACTTCAATTCTTTACCTTGTTTCAGATGTGCAACTACGAACCATTTTTATCGGGTAATGGCTCATCGAGCATTATTGTCGGCACATTGCTACACATGTTTTCTTATCTTTTTAACTTTGTTTATTTTAAAACCTGGGGAATCTACTTTTCTTTGTTTCCTACCGACTACTTTTTCCTTAGCTTGCTCACAAGTCAATTTTGCAAAGGTTTCAACTAGTTTTACGAAACAAATGTACAATAAAACAGTCAACTGCAAACTAGTCTTAAAATGTTGAGGCCGTAAATTTTTGAATTAATTTGTCGAATTTAAATTTATAATTAAGTAAGACTTTTTTCAGCAAACACTCACGGACATCTATTTTTGTTAGTTCACGCTCGTGTACCTACCTAACTTCAATTGTTATTCAGACATATAATATTAATCTCGTTAAACAAGAGTGTTTTTGCGAACCAATATCATTATCATTAACTGATCCGGTTTATATGGTTGTCGATAAAAACTATCTAGCTAGTACTATGAAATACGTCCAAGAAGTAAGTCAAAAACGGGCAAAAGAACTATAATAAATACAATGCATACGTAGATAGAGAGAGAAGCGAAAAATATAAAATGAATACAAAACTACTACATTAGATAGCTAAATCCCCTAACGTAGATCATTCCAATAGGGTTCCCAAGGATATTACTAGCTGTTCCCGTGTTGCTTCATCCGCATGAAATTATGAAAATTTTATTTTATTGTTTATATTTATCAAATTATCAATGTCAAAATGACTTGACATGACAAACCTTGGCAAACATACTTTCTTGATGTTGGCAGCAACATATGGTCTCTTACCCACATTAGGGTTTTAATCCAGAATATTTACCGCCTAATTTTAATGGCGTGAAAATATATAGCCTAAAGCGTGACGTAATTGTAGGGCATATTATTAATAAAATAATTATTCAAAAATATGCTGTAATTGCTGACATCTTAGGCAACAAAAAAGTGTGTGTTTACGTTTTATTATAATAGTATAGATGTATACTAAAACAGCAATATTGTAAATATTATCAAAGCTGCGTGACCTTACCACTGTTGTCCTACTTTAAGTACAAAGATTTCTTCCTTGAAATAGGTATTATCTCCAAAAGCAGAGATTTGTTGCCAGTCTTTCCCAAATTAGAATAAAATCACAAGGACTTGACATCGGCCCAATCCGCTGAGGGAGAGCCACAAACAAGAAATATAATAGAATAGTTATTATCCTCGTATTTTATACCATTACGAACCGTCCACTTTATCAAGTGAGTACATATCTCTAGCGTTGTTCTTAATAAAACTACGCCGTATATATCTCTCCAGTTTCCTTTTAGACTTTGCGATACTAACTCGATGCCATGTTTATTATGATTTATACCACTGCTACTCTAAAAGTTAGTTCCTTAGACTAGACATAACCTTAGCAAGTAGTGAAGCATTAATTACAGATAAATATTTATTTTTCAAGCAAATATGAAACGTAACATGTTCAATTAAAGATGTCTTTTAGTCATCATTAGACCTTATAGTAAAAATAGATGGTTGAGACACCTTAACTCAATGTACACGTAGGACATTCCGAATTGTATTTCGTTATAATGTGTACTTGATTGGGTATTTCTTGTAACTTTGTACTTATTCATTAAAAATTATAATTATTGATCTCAACGTTAGTTACATTAATGAGACAATCAGTTAATTACAAATAAATTACAAATGTTACTATGTTGCATAAACACAAGTGTCTATTACTTGTTAAACGACTCCGTAATAAAAAAAATCGGTATAAAATGCAAAAACTGTACACTTTTGTTTTCGTTAAATTTCTTCTAACTTTCAAAACATTGGCGTTTGGTGATTACCAACTTCTTACCAACAAAGATACAATTCTCAACTGAAAATAATGAAAAGATAAAAATAGGCAAATTAAGTTTAAGCAATCTCTTAATTGTTTCCCGTCACAAATTAAACAGATTGTCACAATTGCAGTGACTAACGCAACTGTCAAGTCCAGTATGGCCTTGATGGTTACACTGAATGAAACAAACTCGGTTATTGCGGTTACTTGCCTTCCGTAAAAGACGAAATAAACAATTGATTAAACAAATTCTTAACTAGATGTGGCCATCGCCATGTCTACAGCCCGAAGCTTTAATAAGTGTCTTTATTTTATTAAATAACTAAACACAATCGCTTTATTTATGCTTTGATTATGCATATTGTTATATTAAATTCCTATTTACGTTACTCTTAAAGGGCCCCGTCATACTTACATGAAAATACTGACCTTGTCAAGTTAGTCCCCTCGCGTGTTGTACGCAATCTCGAATACCTAGATTATGCTTTTATAGCGGTTGAGAGAAAATTTCAAATTCTTCTAAATAAATGTTCTTATAGTGGGCGCATCCGACATCAGTTTTGGTGCCTTGTATTATCCTAATATAGCACCCGGGGCCGTCAGCCTCATTGTTGCCGTGCAAATGACGGAAGTGCTCATTTTGTAACAGCAATTTATCTATCATACCTTCAATTACATACATCAATAGATCGAGCCGAACCTATTATTGCAATGGAGAACGGTAAAAGCTATGCCCTTATGAAAAGGACTTTGAACTCTAATTATTTTAAATTGTTTATTCATATAATTGGATGTAGCAAGATTCTCACACTTCAAACGTACTAACACTAAAAGTTAGAACAAAAAGGTCAACTGTATAGGCTTAATTTAATTAAAGTTCTTTTTTATTTTTTACTAGCTGTTGCCCGTGACTTTGTCCATACAATGCGAAATATTAAGATAAAAAAAACATACAGACAAATTGAGTACCTCCTTCTTTTGGGAAGTCAAAAAGTAAGATAATAAGTGCCCGTCTATGTCAGCTACCTTTCAGGGAAAGTCCGATTTAAATCGGCACAGCCCTTTCTGTGATTACCCGAAACAAACGCGGCTAACGGGCAAACAGACAGACAAAAAAAAATTAAATGCGAGTTTCGTTACCAGGAAATTTTCTTTTGATATTACAAACAGACACTCCTTCTTCCTTCACTCCAATTTTATTATAGGTATGTATAGATTATATTCGTTATTAAACTTGTGCTTAATAACAATCCTAATTGTTAACAGTTGTACGATCGTACCCTTTAACTCACTATCTAAATAACATTAAGAAATGTGTAAGGTAAAATAATTTTCGTGAAAATAATTGCTAAGAAAAAGTAGGTATTTGGAATTTGCTCTGTAACTTTCAATTTCTTGCAGGTCGTAAAACTGTATTGAATAATGTAAGCGGCAGTTTCAACGCCGGCGAGCTGACTGTCATCATTGGCCAGTCCGGGGCCGGCAAGAGCAGCCTCATGGACATTCTTGCGGGATACACGTAAGTTACTACTAACATTTATTGTAAACTAGCTGTTGATAGCGACTTCCGTGAAATAAATAAAAATAACCTTGGTTACTCACTGATAACGAAGCTTTTTAATGGTGAAAGAATCGCCAGAGAGGAATAGAACGGACAGTTATTGAGGTCTCGCTCGGCGTCAATTTTCGACAACAGCTCAATCCTGTTTTAGTACACCTATGTATTTGTTTCTATCCTGCATAAGATTTTGCAAATTATTTACTCCCTAAATTTAATAGCGTCGAAATATATAGCCGCAAGTGTAAGGCTATTCATAAAAAAAATATTTAAAAACATTCTTTAATTGGTAACATCCTACATAACTGTGTTTACGGTTTATTATATTAGTATAGAGGTGTAGATTAACATTGTTACACTGGTGTACAGAAACTGATTGTTTACTCAACACGTGAAACTTAGTTACAGTGTATTAACACATTACTTAGTCCATTGAACATGGCTCATTGTTTGATAATATTAGACAGCTTCACTATTCCGTATACTATAGTGATGTTTACTAACATAAATATGTTACAATAGTGTGATGTACGTACGATGTTCATATATATGTTCAGAAACGTATAACGTAGATTGTTTTTAATATCATAAAGAGGAAAGATTTGTATTTTTGTATGTATTGAAACTCGAAAACTACTGGGCGGAATTTAACAATTCTTTCACTATTAAAAAAGCTACGTTATCAGCGAGTAACATAGGTTATATTCTTTGTAAGTTTTAAATACACGCGGGCGAAGTCGCGAGCAACAGTTAATAATGGGTTTTATAAATAATCAGAAAAAAACAGACGAATTGAGTACCTCCTTTTGGGAAGTCGGTCAAAAAACACACGTTGCGAGCTCATTGGCATTGTTTATTTTTTTAATATAAATTAAATAACAAAATAAAGTCTTCAATATTAGAATGGAATTCTTAGCATTGGGTGAGACGACACGGCCATACACAAGGTTCGTATATGAATACAAAGGAATGCGTAAATTGAAATAGACCGAAACAATGCGCGCCCACTGACATAACTCGTGTGTATTGTTATCAGTGTGAACGGCCGTACACACCAACAAACGTATTACATATAGTTACTACTATCGTCTGTTAAATAATGGCTAGTAAATTGGTTTTTACTGTCACTATTTCTACAGAATAGAAGTACAAAGACATTACTGATCAATTTGGTTACATGAACAGTTACTCTGTTATTATTCCCAAATGACATCATAGTGTATCGCCAGCTTTAGCCAGACAATACCAAACGGTTTATTCTAAGTAGCCGTCTGTTGTTTTTAACACGTTCGCTGCGTAACAGGCCGATATCGGCCCAACGTGGTACATAAGCTGGTGCGGACGAAGAAAACTATGTCCATCTCGCTTATGCAAAACGTTACATTACATACAACATTATATTTCCACAAAGTTTTAGCAATTTAATCTATCCTAGTGCTAGTGGGTCTAGAAAGACCTGCCCACGCACTGGTGGAAATATAATTGGGGGCGCATTTTGGTCCGCCGCCGCACCAGATGAAGAATTATGATTCTATTTGCCGCAGTAAACGTGTTAACTAGTATATTATTTTGCTTATAATCGCCGCAGACATGTAAATTGTGTCAATGTTAACACTTATTACAAGCAGCATTACATCGTCTTATTACAATTTATCTTAACCTACATGTGACGGAATTTGACCCTATTGAAGATAGTCACATAGTTTTTAAGAGCTGCTTCTTAATTTAGAACATGTTAAGTAAAACTAAAAAATATGATAATTTGTAATCTGCGTAAAAACCCCTGGGAACGAGGTGATCGCACCAAGCTATTTCGACGTGTCTATTTATATTGTGGGACGAATGTACACTACACTTCCGAATGAAATTTGTTTGGTCGCGTAAAATCAGTGTTAAAATAGCAAATAAACTTTTAAAATAAATGAAATAAGTAAAACCACAATTTGTGCTATTTTACAATTAAGTTTTGCATAAAACATTCTGATAACTATAACAAAATTATACGTAGCTACTTTAATATGAAATGTTTTTTTACTGCATTATTTAACGATGTAAATAATTACGTGTTGACTTTATCGCAATATAATTTTATAAACATTACATTTTTATCAAGAAAAAAGAGGAGACCTTAAATATACATCTTGTAATTGACACTGTTTTAAGTAAGCTGAGAAATAATTATAAATAGCAGTAACATGTTCATATAGAATCGTGTATGAAGAAACATAAAAATATTGTTTTCTCTATTTTTCGAGAAACTGTTATCTAGCTGAGAATGTTTACACCCGAATAGGTAATTTTTTTTATCATGAAGTTTTTTGTTATTATTTTTTTAGACCTAAGTATTTGTATGTATCTCTTACTCTTACTTAATATAATAAAATTGTAGGTTCGAATGAATGTTAGAGGTTGCAGCCTAAACAACTGAACGGATCTCAATGAAATTTGACATAGATATACATAAACACTGGTTACTTTTTATCCCGGAAACAATTACGGTTCCCATTTGTATTCATATTTTTTTTAAATAGTATTGTGCGGAAGAAGTTGCGGTCAACAGCTATTATCATAATAAATATTAGGAAATAATCAAAAAGACTATTTAACGTGATGCTAATGAACTGACGACCAAATGTTAGGTAAAATCGTAGCGCACAGCTTTTATACAACGAAAACATCGTATAGTGGGATACAGTACAATAACCTCCGCGTGTATTTATAACATAGTATACATATAAACGCATCTATATTTACATGCACAACATGTTGCGTTACTCTACGTGACGACGACTCTAAGGCCAAACGAAGTGAGGAAAACTGTTTATTTTGAACATGTTTAAAAACATATTATTTATGGCTTTACATATAAAATATTTCTAAATATAATTGGAGAATTGTATAAATCCTAAAATGATATTATGCGCCGTTAGTGGTCGTTTCACAGCACGCGCTTTTTTTTTGTTTATTTTCATAATCTTTCGAGCTATCAGAGGAATTCGTAGCAATTCATAATGTACTTACATGCGTACTCATATTCGTTCAAGCCTCAACATCTTTACATTAAAATGAAATATAAATTGACGCAAGAACATCTATAGGTCCTTTGTATTATATAACCCGACCAGTTTCACCCACCATTTCTTTATAATGCTTAATAACATAATCAAGGTTGTAAAATAGTTGATAGTTTTGATAGCACAATTAAAAGATTTGTAAAGACTATTTCGGATTAAGCAATTCACAATCTGTGGAGAAAAATAGATAACAAATGTGTATAACAAGGTTGTTTATTAATAATGAACTAGTTCAAGTGTCATTGTTGCCATGGAGTGGTTCAGATCAGACGCGCGGTTATACCTACCATATCCCTTATCGTCACCTCGCTGTTAATGCGTCTACTACAAAATAAAGGCTATAACGCATTTGAAAGTACCTCATCCACGCAACAGCGCCCAACCTAATCATTTAGTGGGCGCGGCATAGGAGATAATGAAAATTCAATTTCGATTCACTAATACTTAATGGTCGATTTTCAATGTTATAAGTAAAGAAACCAACACAATTGTTTAAAAACCGATCAATTACGAGCCTTACGTCATGTGTACTGTAGACGCATTTATCACTATCCACACCAAAGCTATTGATACAATGTAACTAATCACAGATAATAAAGATCTGCAATAAAGGTAAAAATAATTTGATCGATATAGGAGTGATTAAACATGTCACCTTGTGGCAAGCAGCATGCATCGCTTCGTGAATTCTTTAACATGATTACTACACGATCAGGAAATAAAGAAGAGAGTGTTTTTAAAAAAACTTTTGTATCCTGCGAACTCATGTATTTAACTATTATGATATTATTATGTACTTACATTATCTTTATTTCTTATTTTGTATGTAGTATGTTTTACATGATTTGTATAAAAAATGAAATAAAACATGCATTCTAAAAAATAGAGCACCACCAGCTGTGGAATCCGATGACTCAACCAACAAGTGGTCAGGGCTGCACAGAAAGGAACCTCCACACAATGCGTGCAGTTTCTAAATTAACTGCCTAATGTACTTCATTATTATCGTGTCATCATCGTCGTTATGTTCTTACACATATTTGAAACTCGTCCTTTCTATAACCATAGCAACTAAATTTTAAATTGATAATTTCTAATCAGTCATACACTGGACTTACGCGTTATCATATTTAAATTGTAGTGTCGCTAGTAACATTGTTGTACTATTTTAATAAGTCAAACAAAAATGGTATTGAAAATGTCAAGAAAAACCTTAGTAGATACATTTATATTAGTCATCAGTTATTTTTCTAACGAACGAGCGATTTATTTATCCTTTAGTAGTGAATTTATATTGGATTTGAATGAATCTATTGGAATCTTCATTTATTGAATGAAGAGCTAAAGATTGGGTCAAATTGACGGCAAGCGTCGGTATTTCCGTTCGATACTTTCAAGAGAAGAGATAAATTCTAAACCAATGCGAAACATTTTTACTGTGGATTCCAACTTGCCTGATATTTTATGGTTATCTATGTCTTTTTCATAGTGTAGATAAGTGATGACAATAGAAGTATCGTGACTGTGTGATTAAGTCGTTTGAAATGAGAAATCAACATTTGAAATAATGATATCAAGCTTTAGTTGAATTCCGCTTTGGAATTATGTCCATTAAATATTAATAAAGCTACAAGTTTCGTATAAAATCATCAACTAATTAACAGTCGTCGATAAAAATAATTGAGTAAATGAATATTTAAATACAACGTTTCCAAACTTTGACAGTTACACACTTGAAAATTAATGTAACTTTTAAATTATTCTTGTAATTAATTGTAATGTTCAAATGTAGCAAAATTAATTTTATTTAATGTTTTAAATAATAATATTTTATACATTTTTATCAAAGTTCACTGACACCATTATCTTAATTTTTATATAAGATAAGGAAATTATTAAGTAACAAATTTTAGTTGTTCTGTAGAGAGAATACCAAATTATTATGCTTATTATAAGTAGTTACCTACACTTAATGTTAAATTTTTAATTCCATATTCAAATACGTGAATAATTTAATTATTAGTGTCAGATAAAGTCTACTCCATCATGGAAATTTCCAATTAATTTTGATGAAGCATTCTCATCTTCATTTTTAAGGCAAACCAACATTCAAATCTTGAATACAATTATTATTAAGTAGTTATAAAGTTATATTGTACTAGCTTTCGCCCGAGACTGCTTCAGCTGGAATAAAAATCAAATAGGTGCCTAAGTCTGCCAATATTATAGTATTGTAAAATCTCTGGTCCTCTAGCTCCCCAAAGAATGACAAAAAGGCTGATCCGTTTGAATCCCGCCCAGGGCACAAGTAGCGCTAAAACTTGTATTGACAGTAGATATGAAGTTTTTCACAAACGATTCGATAGTAGTAGAAAGTGTTCTACAATAGTCATAAACTAACTTGAAGCTTAGGATTTAAAATAATTGACTTTTTCATTGAATGATAATAAAAATATCTATTAAATTATTGGGCAACTGTTTTTTACCTAAAACGAGCAACAGAAAAATATATTCAATTAACAAAAAAACTTTGTTAAATGCTTCTTATACAAAAATGATAGCTAACATGTTTGTAATCAATACGTAGATATTGTTTGTTGGTTTGTGCCAAATTCAAATAATTTACGATTGCACGTAACAAAGACAAAACGAGTACGCATACAAAAATGGTATTGAATGGAAACCTTTCCGGTAAACCGTATTTGCCTTTACAATTACAAGGATATAATATGAATGTTGCTCCGCGTGCAAGCGCACTTAATGCACTCAGAGTCGGTTAATGACAACAAAGATGTGAATGCACCCAGCCACATATGGGTCGGAAAATAAAATAATAAAATATCCTTCTAAGGTAAGGAAATCACTACAATATTCCTTGTAATATAACAATATACTTAACACATTTATAACTTCAGCTTATATTTCCGAAGTCCTTAGAGTCTAAGTTGGTGACTAGGCCATAGTCAACCACGTTAGAGCCCCTACGGGTTCTTGAAAGATATGTTCTTTTTGCACTACTACATTTTCCTTCAGTGTAAAAAGAATGTGATATACGTACAGTCGGATACAATGGCGATGTTCCACCTTAAAAACTCCAACCAATCGTTTGTACATTTCAAAACGAGACACAGTATATAAACACATACAAAGCAGCTTATAAATGTGTCTATGGTAAAAAGTTGGTTAGTAATAAACGGCTAATTTCTTGTCATTGTTACACTTCGTGTTTAACCACATACTGCGATCTAATCAGTTGTTGGTAGGAAGAGGCTGTTTGTCTCATTGCAATGAAAAAGGCAATTTATCCTCAAGTTGAACACAGCTAATTTCCGCGTCTGTACACATAAAATACGAAATCCGAACAACACACTGATACAAGGCGAGGATAAAACCTAGAAGTGTAGGATATGGACCGGTCAGCTCCGAAAATAATAACTGCCCCATCGACGCTATTGTGTATTATTTTTTATATAACTGTTCAGTTAAAAGTTAGACCACTATTAGCCTTGAGATTACTTCATCTTTACTAAGTCTACAGCGTGGTCATCGTCTTTCCTATCTTATCCTCGCTCCGTGTTTTTGTACTCCAAATAAATCTAATATCTGTCATCTCAGTCACCAATCCCTTCTTGTTCATATCACGTTTCAGGTAATCTACCCATCTACTAGGTCTATCTCTACCAGTGTACAGATCCACACTTATACAGTCTACAGCGTGGAATGACGTGAAAACACGATAATGTAATTGAATTTGCTTCGACGATGCACCTTTTACTCATGGTTCGTATCAATCGTAGTATGAATGTAGATCATGAGGAAGTATTAATTTACTGACCTCACTCGTTTCTCTCAATTTAGAACCACGCTCCTTGAATAAATTGTGCGTAGTTTATGTCATTCTTGGTTTAGTCACATCGTATAAGCGCGTGCATATACCTCGAGTACCATCAGTGGAAGATGTTATAAAAAATATCCGATTATTACTTTCTATTTCTTTTCTGAAATTATAACACAACATAACTCAGTATTGTCAACACATGAAACAATAAGGAAAATCAATTACACGTGCGGTAAATGAATTCGTATTATATTGGAAGGAACCGGCAAACGTTCAAGCTATTTGTCTATCTTGGACAAAAATCCGAAGTATAAAATATACTATACATAAGTAGTCTTAATAATATTGTAATCGAGTACAGCTTGTCGACTTTCTCGCTACGATAGCAGATAGCGCGCTATCTCGAGTTGTATCAATAATCGTAGAACTCTACTACCGTGATACTGAATTAAATCATGTTGTCGTCCTTTTCATTCTTTATGATAAATCAGAGACTCCTATATGTATCAATACAAATGTAAAGGCAGTGGAATTCTACGCTCACAGTGTTTGCGTCTAACTCCTGTTTACGCCTGTGTTGTAAAGTAATCGATAACTTTTTCTACTGGTGAATGTTTTAGAAATACAATACGTATGTAACTGTTACTCGATGCCACCTACTTTTATAATTGGTTACTCCCTGCAAAGTGAGCAAAGGTTATATACCTTAGTCTAGTCCACAAGGGATGAATTTAGTGGACATTAAATAACTTTGTTAGCTGCAATACTCAGTCCTCGTCTGTCTGCAGAACCCACCGTGGAAACACACTTAACAAAGTAATTAAATCTCATAAACGTGAATATTGTACTACATAATAACACGTATGTTTTCAGGAAGCCAACGAGCGGTACGTTATATGTGAACGGTCGTGTGCGCGTCCACAACAGATTCCTGCGGCGCTCGTGCTACATTCTGCAGGACGACCACGTGCAGGATATGCTTACCGTGCAAGAGTCCCTCCACATCGCCGCCGAACTCAAACTAGGCAACCACATCAGCAATGAACAAAAGAAACAAAGGGTAATTAATCCTGTTTGCCTTCTGCTAATGCTTTGTTTGCCACGTTCCTCACTAACAAAATTTAATAATACATTTACTGAAAACACAACTAAACTCAGATATAGTACGGTTTGTATCAAGTCAGACATATCGGGGTCTTTCACACGTCAGACACGGGAGTTTAACCGCAACTTTATTTAATCCAAGTTTTAAAATGTGCCACAAAAGTTATTAATAAGTAAACAAAATTTTACTTCCTCTTTATTTTATTCTTGTTTTAAAATCCTATCTCTTTAGCATTACACTTTTCTCTCAGAGGCAATGATATCAATATTCCGACTACATACCTGTCTATTTCAATTTTTAGGTACAAGAAATAATGACATCGCTCGCAATGACGAAGGTGAGGCATACACGCGCCGGCTGCCTCTCTGGCGGACAGAAGAAGCGGCTTGCAATCGGTCTCGAGCTCGTCAGTGACCCCCCAGTCATGTTTCTCGACGAACCGACCAGGTATTTCAAACACCTTATCATATCTATTTCCTCTCGTAACACCTGCAAACTATCTCTATCTCCCTATCTCTATCGTCGTCGTATCTAAATTAACTTCCTTCTTACACATACCCTCCTTCACCTTTAAATAATCCATCCATGCGATTGCCGCATTTAGTGAAATCACGTAGAGATATTATACACATTAATATTACTCTAATAATCAACAAGTTAAAATCGTCTCCTAAGTGTTTTTCTGTTTATTTCTTTTATTTCTTAATCAAATAACTGCACTGTTATCACAATATGACCGAACGGTGTTATTGGTTATTTCATAAAATTTTATTAAACAAACCAAGTGACTATCATGTCATGTTATTAAATATCTCAATACCACAAAAACACCTGCTTCGATAACGAACATATATCTACATTTATTTAATTTAAGATATCGCATGTGTAAATCTAGACTTTTTTATCGATGTTTTTCGCCAGCAACCCAAAAGGCCTTGATTACTTCGACAGGCAGCCCTAGAAATTAAAATGAAGTGGGAATTATCCACCGATGAAAGAACTTAAGAGATTTTAAATATTTCAGGAACAGAAACAGTCGAATACCTTTCCTTTATAACACTAACATGGTCGCATTCTATGAACTTCAACCAATTTCCTAAGATATATAAAAAAAAAAAACAAAAATCCACAAATAAAACTTAATTGATTTATTTGTGGATTTTTATTTGATAATAAAATATTTTGACATTTCCCTTATTATTTCTGGGTAAAACTAGACAACAATATCATATTATACATGTATTTTAATGTGAAAATTAAGTGATCTTCTTTAGTCAGAAGGTTACATTATAATTATTATAAACAATTACATTGAATACATAGTCACTTCCTGTTAAGATAATTCTGTGAATAGAATTATCATCTCATGGAACAAAAAGTCGATCTTTGTTTGTCGTATTTTGTGTTTTAATTCGCTTAATACTTAGTAACAAATATTTAATATCTAAGCCTTATTTAGACGATTAAGGAACAACAAAATTGGACTTTCTTTCGCAATGTGTTGACAGTAAAATCGTTTTAGGTCATAGCACAAAAGCTATTGATTTTTTTGTAGTAACAGTTCTGATCACGGTTCTATATTTATTTCCAGTGGCTTGGACAGCTCTATATCCAAACAGTTGGTGTACTTGCTGCATTTATTGGCCAGACAAGGAAGAACTGTGGTGGTGAGCATGCACCAGCCCTCCGCAGCTCTACTGGATATGGTGGACAGAATGTACGCGATAGTGGCCGGCCGATGCGCATACATGGGGTCCGTGCATCTCCTTCTACCTTATTTACAACAAATGAATTTGACGTGTCCACCTTACCATAATCCCGTGGATTTTTGTGAGTAAAATTCATTTTAACGAAAGATTTTTAATATTTAATATTGAATTAAAATTTTCCAATAACAAGATAACATCAATTTTTTTTCCGACTATTTAATAATGGTACCTGGCATTTGTTCCCAAATTTGGTTACTTGGTTTTTATGCTTTTCTAATTATGATTCTTAAGTTTTAATGTCAATTTGATAGACAAAGTTTGAAATTAAATTTGTATAAATATTCAAATGATATATCTCACTTTCCTAAGATCAGAGTTAAATAAAACATAACGAATGTCCCTTGCCCAAATGGGCGAGTGAACACGCGTATAGTCGTAGTTTCGAAGCGGCGAGCTAGTTTGACGAGTTTCGAGAGGGCCAAATGTGATAAAAACGATGTGTCCCGTCTTGACGTTGGAAGCCGCTTTTATACAGTTTAATGACCCCTCATAATTAATGCTAGGTTCCTTTTCACTGATAAAGAAATATTTTAAATTTAAAACATTAGAATAAATATAAATTACACTAATAAATGTTTAAACCCGTTCTTCGTCAACTTTCGCAATTGCGAATTCAGATTCCGTGTATAGCGACGGTTTCTTGTTTATCTGAATCTTGTTATTTAAAACCAAATTAAAAATTGTTGCGATGCTAATAAGTTTTTTTTAAGACCGTTTGAAATTATTAGCATTTGATCTTAATAAAGAGCATAAATTGTAATGGCTTCTTTACAAATCAAAAAATTAAGAACGGATGTTTTATAATTGTAAAAAATAATCTGCCGAAACCCGGGATTGAACCAGGGACCTTTAGATCTTCAGTCTAACGCTCTCCCAACTGAGCTATTTCGGCGATGTTCAATATGCC